TAAATTGTGTATGTTGTTGATCTATAATCACAAATCAACTTTCACTGTAGCAACCCTCATGGTCGTTTATGCCTTCCTTTCATAAAAATTGATGTCCTTACCACTAGGCTTTCTCAGTGAGATAAATTGAAATCGAACGTTGCTCACTCCCTTCGGCTCAACATATGTAAAATATGTGTTTACTTTGGTTGAGACAACTTTGTTGTTGCCATCTCATATAATTGTTTCAACTACATTTTTATCCACAACTTTTACATGGAAATGTATGTGTCAGCTAAGGCCACACGATTTTATTTTGTCCCATAATGAATTTGTCATATCAATGAGTGGAAACATACTGCAAAGTAATAATGATAACATTATCTAACTACACCCAGATCTGTTGAAGCAATGGAGTTTAGGTCATTGTGAGACAAATACCTATCAATACAACACTGAAATAACTCAATAAATAAATAACAATTCCACAAACATTTAAACTTGATTTTTTAATACTAAATTTGATTGTAATTAAAATTAGATAAATCAAATCAAGTTTTTTTGAAAGTATATATTACATTTGCCTAATCAGGAGTCTACTTAGCCTAAACAATTAAATTGGGGGTGTGGCGTAAATAAAAAGTTAATTGTACCATAATTAATGCATGAACTAAATAAAAAAAATGAATGAAATAAGCTAATTAATAACAACGTGAATTATCTTTGTAAATACATATCTTCATGTGATTAACTAAGGACACAAACCTTCAAACAGAATCCCTATATAAATGAGCATGTGAGTATATACCATTTTACTGCATCATTTGCGGTTTCAATCCACCCAAATGCAATTGCTGTAAAATATAAATTCATTTTATTATTTGATTGTGTAATTAATAGATATTTTACGTTGGGACTTATGTTTTATATGCTATCATTAATGATGGCAAAATTAAAAATATGCATATATTACATTCATGAAGCAAGTGATCCAATATTAAATCACCACTTCTTCCTAAAATTTTAACAGTTAACAAACCACGATAATGATGAACAAACGCGCTATTTGGGAAGAACCGAAATTTATCCCACTAAAAACGCTTTGACTCCATGTTTTCCTACGACCGATACATGAGTCAAGTACTGGTGGTTTAAACCACCAGTACCTTTTTCCTCTTGAAAATAAAATACGCGTTGGTATATCCGGGAGCAAGCATGGTTCGATACTACCGGATCGAAATGGTTGGTAGTGCCAACCAAAATAAAACTCGCGGCGATATTAAAAACCTCGGGGGACCAGTAGCGCCGTTTCAGAAGGGGTACCGGTAACATAGAGTGGAAAACCGGGTGAATGACAAAAGTCGAATTTACATCAAAAATTGGAAATGCGCCGAATCGACGCGAATATTATTTAATGGCCAAAATAATTTTATTTTTTTTTCTGATATTTTTCCTTGAAAGCTCATAACCTAATCTTTGGACCCAAAAGTTTTCAGAATTTTTGAAGAATTATTATGAACACGAAAAATTGTCAAAGTGGCGGCTTTCAAATGGACGGATTGGACAAGCTGATGACGAACAGTCGTTGCCCCTCCTCATAGGACCGAGGATTTTCGACTGTCGGGGGAAGTGATGTTTTAAACGGTTGATGTCCCTGCGTCAATAGTTGCACTTGTTGCTGCCGATGTAACAAAAATACATCATCCCCCCTCCCCTCACATCGTAACTTTCAAATCTCTTTCTCTCATCATACATAAACCAGGACCCCTTAAGGTTGCGTTCCCCACGCCCTCGCGGTAGATAATATAGTCTGACAACTATACAAACACTGTGCACATTTTTGTATAGTGGAGAGTAATTGAGCAAAACTCGCGGACTGTTAATAATATAAATGTTCAATCAATAAAACACTATAAACGGGGATGCCCAATATTATATCACACTTCAAACGAGGATTGTTATGATATCCATATTTTGTTAGCTCAACAAACTCCAAATAAGGTACTTTCCATGACTGAAGAGGACTACTATGGGCCTCGTTCGACACCACAAAAAAAAAGTTGAATTTATAAAAAACATCGTTCCATAACTCCCTAGTGACGATGATTGTGAAGTCCGCGATATTTCCATATCGCGGACGTGTAGGGTCTGCCCTAATTTCTTTAGTGCGTCCCAGCCAAAACGACGAAAATCTCAAGGGAGCCTTAGGAGGTCACGAGAGAAGTTAGAGCTGGACCAAAAAAAATGCATAAAACATGGATTTCCCCCCCCCCCCCCCAACAATTTTCCACCAACCACAACTATTTCGGACATGTTGAATTACAACGGTTTCTGATACCATGTGGTTGGCACATGAGTCTTTAGGGCGTTCATCTCAAGGGTTTCATCTAGGGGCTGTGGAACGGAAAAACGGGCTAGGGGAAATTAATCACTTTTTGCAAGTTAGGGCGCCATTGAAAAACTGCAAATCACTAGTGGTGTCGAACCAGACCCTTTGTTGTAAAAAAATAACAGGCTGAAAAGGTGAAAAAACAAACCTGTTTTTTTTTATGTTCGCAGCCCGTCAGGGGTGCGTTTCCTCCCCCTGAGATATTCCCCCCCGAGACATTTTCGTTGTCCTTCATTAAACTAGTCGTTCATTTGGGATCGTTTGGTCGTTGGAAGGTTGGAAAAATGCAGGCAGGTGAGGGCACGACACTTTGAGGCGTGGTGGCAGTTTCTTTGAAAAAAGTGAGATTGGTAGCTGCCCATTGGACCTCGTGCTGGATTTTGGTTGAAACGGTGGCAAAGCAGTGGCAGGGTGGATCTTTGGGGGGGGGTGACCGTTTCTTTGAAAAATGTGGGATCGGTAGCTGCTCGTGGGACAACGCGCTGGGTTTTGGTCGAAATGGTGGCAAAGCAGCGGCAGGGTGGAAAAGTGGAAAAGTTTGCAGCCCGTCAGGGGTGCGTTTGCCCCCCGAGACAGTTCTCCCCCCGATACATTTTCGTCGTCCTTCGTTATACCGGTTGTTGATTCGGGCTCGTTTGGTCGTTGAAAATGCAGGCAGGTGCAAGCACGACACTTTGGGGGGCAGTGGCAGTTTCTTTGAAAAATGCGGAACCGGTAGCTGCCCGTGGGACCGTGCACTGGGTTTTGGTCCAAACGGTGGCAAAGCAGCGACAAGGTGGAACTTTTGGGGGTGGTGGCAGTTTCTTTGAAAAATGTGGGACCGGTAGCTGCCCATGGGACCGCGCGCTAGGTTTCGGTCAAAACGGTGGCAAAGCAGCGGCAGGGTGGAAAAGTGGAAAAGTCTGAATCGGAAAGGGCGCGACCTTGGCCATAGGTTGAAAGAACACACCTGCATTGCATTTACAAGTGCAAACAAATGTGTCTGAACGTGGACGTATTCAACGCTCCACACATTCAGCGCCCGATTGAGTGAGTCACATGTGCCTATTTTGCTCGTTGTCTGCGTGCCATCTCTCTCTCTCTCTCTCACACACACACACACACACACACACACACACACACACACACACACACACACA